GATTTACAATGCAGCTTGGTGCTGGGAAGGCAGCATGGTTACAAGCGTGATGTAGAGAGAGCTGGTTGGTGAGGGTGCTCAGAGGAGGACAGCTTGTGGGTCGCCATGCTCGCCGGCGGGAGCGAGGACCGCCAGGCAGGCGGAGGAGGAGGAGGTGTTGCTGGCTGGTTGGTGTAGGTAGAAAGAGAGGGTGGTCACCACGAGGTCAAGTCTTTTATAGCAGAGGTAGGCGTGGGTAGATAGATGACCCCCGCTCCGTGGGCGGCGCTGGTTGACCCAGACCACGAGGCATACACAGGGGAATTCGTGGGGTTGGCTACTCAGCGACAAACAGCGTTTGTAGGGCAGAAATCCACTACACTTCTTTCAAACCACGCTCCTGGATTCTGGATTCGTCTCCAAAGATCCAAGCCAATGGAATGACGATCCACAGTTCCTTCAGTCAAGGGAAATTCTACAAGAGTTGCAGGTGGTGAATGATGTGGCCGAAAGAGAGGTGAAGCCTATCCAGGACTACAACTCTTCAATTACGAAAAACGAAGATCAAAAGCAGTACCAGCTTCAGGTGGTCACCACACATCAACGTCAGTATCCCAGCATAAAGAAGGCTAATCTTCTGTGATGTATGTTTCTCTTACATGTGTTCTTTATGTAAATATCATATTTTGGATAAAATAAACACCAACAAATAAATGTAACAAATAAATCACTTGTATCTGATGTCAGGAACAAGAATTATTTTATAGAGGGAGAAAATATTAGAGAAGTAGAATTTTCGCGCCACTTGTGCATACCCTAAATGAAGCTGTAATTACCTTTAATTTTGGCTGAAATGCTTTTTCATGTAAAGGACGCAAAAAAACATTGAGCACTAAAAATATAAAGAATTTTACTTTTTTTGAACCACCCTAATTAATATATATATATATATATATATATATATATATATATATATATATATATATATATATATATATATATATATATATATATATATATATATATATATATATATATATATATATATATATATATATATATATATATATATATATATATATATATATATATATATATATATATATACTGTATATATATACTGTATATATATACTGTATATATATATATATGCATATGCAAGTAAATCACTGTGGGTGCGCATGATCCAAGTATATGCTGATAACCACAAGGAAAGAAGAAAACGCGAAGTTCCCAAGCTCTTTCGTGTAATTCACATCCTCAGGGGTGAGTACAGACTAAGGAGAAGTACAAAACAAGGTGTATATGTACAGAGGAGGGTGAGATCAGGTCCACAATGGTCAGGTATTAGGTAATGACCCTACTAATCTTTAAATAGCACGGCAACGGTCGGTAGTCAGGTCAGAGGGTAAGGTGACCCAACCTTCTCACCTGGTTACAAATCTTCTTAATTACAAAATTGTCCAGTTTGTACATGCCATTACTCAAATTCATGTTGAATGCTTCGGTATGTATAATGAGACTAGATTCTATGATGTTCCTACTATCAATTGAATTACAAGGTAATATTGAGGAGGCATTATCCCAGTCAATGCAATGCTTGTTATCCCTCAAATGAACAAACAGAGCATTGGATTCCTGGCCTGTCCTAATACTATATTTATGTTGTTTAAGTCTAGTTACAAGATCTTTACCTGTCTGGCCTAAGTAAAACATATTACTACATTTCTTGCAAGGAACTTGTAGGAGTTCGTGATATTATGTTGTCTAGCACTCAGGATGGATGGAAACTCTAAGGTGGTTTTCTTGTATAATATAAGTTATATGATAGACAGTCTGGTGCTGGAGGTGCCGTGTGGTGAGGAGCTGCTCAGTAGAGACGTTCGGTGAGTAGCGTGTTGAAGGAGGTAGATGTGCAGGAGCTTCGTTAGAGAAGATGTTGCCTGTTGCTGGCCTCCTGGTTGAATGAAAGCTGGACAGCGTGGAGCTTGCTGGAGGAGGTGTTGCGTGTTCAGGAAGAATGCCAGAATGAGAGCTAGTTGGTGAGAAAGCTCAGAGAAGGACAGCTGGTGGGTCGCCATGCTCGCTGGCGGGAGCGAGGACCGCCAGGCAGGCGAGAAGCGAGGGCTGCCAGGCAGGCGAGGAGAAGCGAGGGCCGCCAGGCAGCGGCGGAGGAGGAGGTGTTGCTTGTTCAAGAAGAGAGACCAGAATGAGAGAGCTGGTTGGTGAGGACGCTCAGAGAAGGACAGCTGGTGGGTCGCCATGCTCGCTGGCGGGAGCGAGGACCGCCAGGCAGGCGGAGGAGAGGCGAGGGCCGCCAGGCAGCGGCGGAGGAGGATGTGTTGCGTGTTGTAGAAGTGAGGCGAGAATGAATCTCAATGGAGAGACAGAGCTTATATACCCAGCAGCCGCAAGTCCTCTATGAGTCATGTTGGGAAAACCCGAGAAAGTCGCCGGTCTCTAGTTCCGTTGCTAGGTTACCGTAACATCTGGTGTCGCCGCTCGCTTGGTTGCTAGGGAGGATGGTAGCATCGGAATGCGGATACGCAGTTGTAGGGGAGAAATCCACTACAATACTCCCCCTTCCCTCCAGGCGGTGTAGGAGACTTGTTGTCTGTAGAGTTGCTTTGCACATGTGAGGCAGACCGGGCGGTGCATGCCTCATGTGAGACAACGGCGATGGCGTGAATGAGCCGATCGCTGAAATACAACTGTCTAGATACACACTGTCAGTGGGAGAAGGGAGAAAAAGGGTGTGTGGAGGCGATGAATGTTGTGCTTCCCTCACGACAGGTACAGGGTCGTCAGATGCGCCTGCTGGGGTGTGTGTGGGCCTGGGTCAGGAGCAGGGGCTGCGTCAGCAGAAGCGGATTAGGGCTCGTGACAGCAGCTGGGTCCACGACAGCAGCAGGGTGCAGGACATTAGCAGGGAGTACCTGAGAGAGAAAAGAGGGGTGTGTGTGTGGGTCCGCACTCAGGAACAGAGGCCGCGTCAGGGGTTACTGCTGGGCCGGGGTCGGCGTCTGAGGCAGGACGGGTGTGCTGGGGTCGGTAGGATGTGGTGCTTGGGGCAGGAAGGGGAGCTGGTGTCTGCTTAGAGTAGCAGAGCTGCTTCTGTGTGGATAAGCCAGTCTTCCATGCTTCTTGAAGACTGGGAGCGTGATCAGTGTCTCCTCCATCCTGTGTGAGTGCTTATCTCCGGGAGTCACCATTGGTAGGAATTCGTGGTATAATGTTGTCTAGCACTCAGGATGGATGGAAACTCTAAGGTGGTTTTCTTGTATAATATAAGTTATATGATTTACAGTCTGGTGCTGGAGGTGCCGTGTGGTGAGGAGCTGCTCAGTAGAGACGTTCGGTGAGTAGCGTGCTGAAGGAGGTAGATGTGCAGGAGCTTCGTTAGAGAAGATGTTGCCTGTTGCTGGCCTCCTGGTTGAATGAAAGCTGGACAGCGTGGAGCTTGCTGGAGGGGGTGTTGTGTGTTCAGGAAGATGGGCCAGAATGAGAGCTGGTTGGTGAGGAAGCTCAGAGAAGGACAGCTGGTGGGTCGCCATGCTCGCTGGCGGGAGCGAGGACCGCCAGGCAGGCAAGGAGAAGCGAGGGCCGCCAGGCAGCGGCGGAGGAGGAGGTGTTGCTTGTTCAAGAAGAGAGACCAGAATGAGAGAGCTGGTTGGTGAGGACGCTCAGAGAAGGACAGCTGGTGGGTCGCCATGCTCGCTGGCGGGAGCGAGGACCGCCAGGCAGGCGGAGGAGAGGCGAGGGCCGCCAGGCAGCGGCGGAGGAGGAGGTGTTGCGTGTTGTAGAAGTGAGGCGAGAATGAATCTCAATGGAGAGACAGAGCTTATATACCCAGCAGCCGCGAGTCCTCTATGAATCATGTTGGGAAAACCGAGAAAGTCGCTGGTCTCTAGTTCCGTTGCTAGGTTACCGTAACATCTGGTGTCCCCGCTCCTTGGTTGCTAGGGAGGATGGTAGCATCGGAATGCGGATACGCAGTTGTAGGGGAGAAGTCCACTACAATAGTCCACTACAAACTTTATAAATGCAACCAATTGTGTTGTTGGGGGGAGTTCTTGATTAACATTTGTTTAACAGAGCATGAGTTTTTAAATGCCACATTGACGTTCCAGGTTTTTAGTTGTAAAGGAATTTGAGAGAAATTTTTGTGAAATGGTAATATTAAGATATTCTTATGGTCATGGGTGGGCTTCGGACCATAAGAATATCTTAATACAGTATTACCATTTCTCTTTATATGTATACATGCATGCATATATAAATGAAGATTGATATGTCTAAAAATAAATAGAAAACGTAAAATATATCACTCAAGACGTCACATCAAATATATAAATTTTAGCTGGAGCTTTCCTATCTTGACTAGAGTATTACAACCGCCACTACAAAGAATATCAATCCCTGACTCGATCTCAACAGCTTATATACATGAGACTGCGCCTAGGGTACAGGTACCTATGGGAGTACATTGGCAACCCTGAGCCTCACCGCACTGTTTGTAAACTTTGTGGCCAACCCGACTCTCACTACATCCTCACTTGCCCTATGACCTCCTCCTATAGGTCCCCAGCCGTTACCAACACCTCTTCCCTCCCAGACCAGATATCCCTCCTCCTAGTCACAGGCCTGGCATTTGACATTATTAGGGACCTGCCACTCTTTGCCATAAACAGATAAAATGTACCGGGAACTTTCCCCCCACACTCATCATTCTCTCACTTTATGTAACTTGACAAAACCTATGACCCTTCAGACTTTTACGCCCTTAATGTACGAGTCATAAAGGCAAGTATGAACTTTTCATACTTCCCTGTTGGGCGCTGTAAACGCTTCTGCGCTTCACCTTGCACAGGATGTAAGGGGGTGCCCAATAAACTAGCCCCCTCGTGGGCAAATCTGAATCTGACTAGAGTATCTTTGGACTGGACTAGAAGTGGAGCAGGTTTAGATACAGGAATTTATTTCTGAGAGGTGGCACCACTGTGAGCAAACTGCGTGACAAATCTGTATCCGAGACCCGACCCGATCACCCGACTCCCCGACTCCCCGAGCCAGACGATTGACCGTTGACGTCATTGACGAACAGTTATATACGCGACGAGGAAGGAGGTGTGCTACTGTGCCGAGCCGAGATTTTGGTAAGTGGTAAGTTATATTATCGTATCGAAAATAAACCTTACTTGACTCTCACGTCTATTGAAACTTTTTGTATGCGATTCTCATTTGTAAGTTGCGTAACACATGAATATTACTGTAAATGAGTGAAAATTTTGCTTAAAATGTGAATAATCATTACACAACCTTTATGTACTATCTACAAGCTTGTTCTCTGTTCATAAAGTTAAGGAAACAATATTTTAACATGTTAATTTAAGAGTGTTTTGGATAATTAGTATAAAAGTGTTCAAATACAGCGTTGGAGCGAAGCAAAATCAGGATGACCGGCTTAGTTCCTACTTACGCTATTTTACCGTGAGTGCGCTCGGATTGGCTAATCATCCTGTCTGCAAATAACGCGAGAACTAGGTAATTATTTACGACTTCACAGTCGCTGATTTTTCATAGAAAACTAATTTAGAAACAGGAATTTCACTGTTTTATATTGGACACTGTCGTAGTTATGGCAAATATATTAAAAAGTGTTTATTTAAAAGTTCAAGTTAAGTTAACCTAACCTAACCTTAAACTAAACTAATCGGTAAAATTTCACTTAAGTTAATAGTGACGACTGACCCGCCAACGGGGTATTTGTTCTGCAGCTTATTTTCGGTCAATTTATACTTCTACTTTTTTACTTTTATCCTCTTCACCACTGATCGGCTTGTTAGCTGCTTGGGTGATCAGTCACGTCTCTGATTACTTTTCCTTTTCTTTTATCATCTTCAAAAGATGGTAAATTTGCACTTCCACCTCCCACTCTGTTAGAAAGTAAAAAATATAATTTTCTTGTGTATTTGTGTGTGTTTAGACCGAATATGACCTTCATTTCCTTCGGAAATTGGCCTGGTTTTTTTATCGAATTTATTTCGTGGGATGTTTTTAAAAAAAAAATAATGGCTAAGCCAATAAAAAATACACCAAAACACACTAGAAAAACAAAAAGCAAACCTAATCCAACCTAACCTCACTGACTCTCACCATATGATGAAATCACCTATTTCTTGCCTTATTGGGCTGGTTCTTGTTCGTCGTTGGATTTTGAGACTCTTACACAACGCCACACATGTTGTTCTTTGCGATATTTACATTCAGTCTTGCACTTAAGACACTTTACTGAGGTTGGAAGAACACCATGCGATCAAAAAAATGCTATAGCTTCTTCGTTGTTTTCCCAAAAAACTCGCAATAAGCTCCATATAATTTAAGTGACACCCGTCGGAACTGAATTTGAATTTCGAAAAATGAGAGACCCAAAATAAAAATTGATTTTGACATATTTTCACAAACTACAACCGTGTCCTCTATGATAAAACAATGAAAATCCGGCGTTTTTATAATTGTTTTCAATCAATTTCGCTCTCGGGTTAGTCCTATATAATTACCATATGTTTTTACCATGGTATTTGATGAGTTTAAAACAAATTTGATATTCATTTCCTCCGGAAATCACTAGTTTTTGAGATACTCTCCCCCACCCAACATTCATAACGGAAAAAGTTGGAAAATTGTTTTGTTTTTTCGAGTAAATCACATAAATAAAATACCAACCTAACCTATCCCCCCGTAGTTCATGCCCCCACATCTTGGACAAAGAACTTGTTCGGTAATACACTGTGTTTTCTAAAAATAGAAATTGCCTCACTATTTTTTTTATGAAACTCGGCAATTGACTTAAAATAACCTTTCTCACAATGTCGGCACAACTCTCTCACCTGTTCAGCCATATCTGGTACTGTACTGAAAATTCAAATCTCTGCTCCCAATGCACCGACTCATTGTTCATTGTATAAGACAAAAAACTCTTGCCCAATAATAAATTTCCGATTGCTATAGCCAATAAGAAACTCCCACACCATCCCTGTACATGTGCTGTAGACACTTAAGAAGCGAAGACGGAGGTAAGGAGCACTAGCTGAGGAGGGGTCAGACCTTCTCCGCTAGATGTAAACAAATCATGGCGACACTTGTGACAGAGCAAATCTAATGATATTGAAAAAATTAATATCTCGGTTATCCTTAATTTCCGGCAGAAATATCATGGAAGAAAAATGTCTTGGAATTGTCTAAACATTACGAAATACAGTATAGTCTCAATTTACGCGGATTTGGTTTACTCGTTTGGCCATTTGCGGCAATTTTCCAGACTGACAATTTTTATTTACACGGTTCATTCCATCATTTACGCGGGAAGCTGCCCGGGCAGGGTGCGCACAAGGTCGCCCAGTCAACAAAACATTACCGAGCTCGTCACCCACCACAGCCGGCCTAAGTCAGTGATAGTGAGGATATGGACTTTGAAGGGTTTGACAAAGAGGCCCTGCAAGTCTCTGTAGTGGATAGTGATACAAGTGATACAGGTGAGGGCCAATAATCTGCCCTCTGCCTCGAAACCAACCCCCATCCCCTTGTGCCCAGCCATCTTTTCTACTAACGTAAGTGTTAAAAAACCTAATATTATTGATATTTCTCTTAAGTATTAATTGTGTGTGCATACCATCATAAAATTAAGATGTTATTTTTACTACAACGTACGTATTGTCGGAAAAAGGGTAGTCTGGGGGTCGGCCCAGTCTCTATTTCAATTAATTCCATATGTTCTGTTATTTCGTTTACCCGTTTTTCGTTTTACGCAGACCTCCACGGGTTTAATTGACCGCGTAAACCGAGACTATACTGTACATATTAAAAACAGCGGGAGAAAGACCGGTGTGTTACTATAAATTCACCTTATTTTTTTTATCTATGTTCATCAAAGAGTACTGTTAGGATAATCATTTCTTGTGCAGATGCTTCGTTTAATAGATATTTAGGCGCTGAAGGTGCGCACTTTGTCTTCTCAGCGGCAAATTTATATTTTGGGCGTATTTTATTCAAGAAGACCTTCCCAATTACCAACAATTTTGGTTATTCAAAGTGGGGCAGTAGAGAAAAATTTGGGGTAAAATGTTAAAAAGAACACTCAACAAACCTTTGAAAACCTTACCTAACCTTAACTAACTTGTAAAAAGTTTAAAAATACAGTATGGTAATGTCTGAGAACTCCATTGGTACCACCAGAAGGAGTTACGTATTTGATTTTGTTCATTTTTTCCACAGATGTTCTTATAATTATAAAAGAGACGACATTTACTGGAGCCTAATAGAACTTGACCTAACCAACCAACGAAACCTACCTAACCTTACCTCCTAGCCGAGGGGGTGAACCTCCGTCATATTAAACGGAAAGTACTTAGCCAATCAGAGTGTACTCACGGTAAAATAGCTTTAATAGGAACTTATCTGGTCATAGCAAAATATCCACTATGATTTCTATTTATATAGGGAGAAAGCAAAAAAAAAAAACTTATTGTTAGTTTTCGGTGCAAATTTATATTTTCCGAGTATTTTAACCGATAAGTTGTTCAAAGTGGGCAGAGCTTTGAAGTACAGTGGTCCCTCGGTTAACGAGCACAATTCGTTCTAGAAGGTTGCTTGTTAACCGAAAAATTCTTTAACCGAAACCATTGTTTCAATGGGTTTTTGGGGTAATTGGTTCCAGCTTACCGAAAATTGCCTAAAGCCAACAAAAAAGGTAGTAAAGTACACATACTTTGAGGTGTGTATGTAGAAGGCTCCTGGATGATGATGATGATGATGGTGATGGGAATTAGAATGGGGGTGGAGGAGAAGGGAGAAGAGAAGGCATTGGAGCGGAAGAGAGGTCACCCCTGGCGCCATTTCATCCATAAAATTTTAGTTCACTTAGTGTAATTCAAGATTATTTTTTTAAATCAACACTGCACTGCATTATATATTGTCACTATGTAAAATAAATTTCAAAATGACCAATAATTTGACTGGAAACACAGAAAAAAGCATTTATGTTGAAGAGAGTCTGAAGCAAGATGTTACCTCCACTGAAACGACACAGAGACTGACGCCTGTATGGTGTGTAGTCAGGCTGTTTGGCGCAATAAAAACTAGTTTCCCTGTACTTAAATTATGTTAAATAATTGTTAAAATGACTGTAAATTGTAATACAAGACTTTTAAAATTATTGAATAGTACAAACTTCTTCATATTTACTAAAATAGTAAGGAATTTAAGCCCTAGAACTGATTACTGTATTGGCGGACTAATATGACAGCTAGTGTGCAAGCGAAAACATTTTGAGGGGCGCTCGTAAGGAATTCATTAATCGAGGGAATGCTTGTTAACCGAAGTTAAGAATCTTATGGAAGGTAATTCGTTAACCGAAATTTCGTTAACAGAGGCGCTCGTTAACCAAGGGATCAGTGTAGAGTGAAAATGTGGGGTAAAATAATATAAACAAACCTTTAAAAACCTTAACGGTAAAATTATCGTTTTTGTCGTGCACCTTCTTTGAAGTAGGACAGAATTATTCAAAACACACAATTTCAACCTAAACTAACCTAACTTAACCTAACCTAAGCTAAACTTAAAATACTAAAATTCACTGCATGGCCAAAAGGATAATAATACCACCTTACCTAACCTATAAAATTCCTATATCTATGAAGCACTTGCCTTATTCTTGTTTTCCGTGTTTAATATACAGTCAACCCTCGCTTTACGCGGTCCCACTTTACGCGTTTCCACGTTTACGCGGTACCCTGCCGAAACCGGAATGCTCACTTTCCGCGGTGTGTGTACCCTTTTACGCGGAGAGCGGCGCGAGCAGGGTGCGTACAAGGTCGCCCGGTCATCAAAACATTACCGAGTTCTTCACCCGCCACCCACCACAGCCGGCCCAAGTCAGTGATAATGATAGTGAGGATATGGACTTATATGGACATTGAGGGGTTTGACAAAGAGGCCCTGCAAGCCTCTGTGGTGGATAGTGATACAAGTGATACAGGTGAGGGCCAATAATCTGCCCTCTGCCTCGGAACCAACCCCCCATCCCCGTGTGCCCAGCCATCTTTTCTACTAATGTAAGTGTTAAAAAACCTAATATTATTGATATTTCTCTTAATTA